CCCTAGAGATAGATAGTACAGTTGTTTTTTTTTTGTAATTTCTTCTTTGGGGATTAAAAAAAAAAAGAATGTATATGCACACACACACACACACACACACACACACAATGTAGATTCTAGAGTTTGCTCACCAGTATGACACGGGCCATTCTAGTGATTACTTGCACAATCCAGTGTCATCAAAAATTTATCAAATTATTATATATTTTAAAAATATATTTCTGACTTACTGTTTAATCTCAACCCAATTTTCTTCCAATGGCAAAATGAAGTCAGTTCTTTAGCTTGCATTTTGCATATAGCTTTTTGCAGATAACTTTTCCCATGTAAATTGTGTACAATTAAACCTCCAGTATATTAGGATCCCCTGTAAGTTAGGCGGCCCAAGCTGGCTATTTAAAAAATCGTCTTTCTATCCTCAGTCAGGACCCAAGTAGGAAAGAGTTGTCCAAATTCCTTAATGATTAGTTCTTGCCAATGGCTTTCCTCTAAAGCAGTCAGAAGAATCAAGGCTGGGAGAAGTTTAAGATCAACTAAGTCTACCTCCTTCTCATGAAAAGGTGTGCCTTTATCATGTGACAGAAATCACTGTCAGTCCTTAATAGATAACTACTGAAGAAGGCATTCTAGATTTTCTCATCACCAGCACTAGCTATTAGAAACTACTACACTCAGGAATTCCTTATATCTGATTTAATTTACTTCTGCTAGTCCTTAATCAGTCATTATGTATGTGAGTGTGGGGATCTCTATCATAGTTTTTATCATTTTCATTTCAAATATGTGGAGGTTGATCTACCATGTATAATTGATTCTATGACCTTACTATTGCAATCAATACTTTAGTCTGTGAAGCAACTTTGTCCCACTTAGAAAATGATTTTAAGGCCAAAAGAATAGGAGAGAGGTGATATGTATAATAATTCAGAAAAATCCTTATTGCATCATTTACGTAAAATAATTTTTAACAAACACAAAGTCCTCCCACAAACACATTATTCACATATTCACATATCAAAAAAGCTTGAAAAATCACGGAAGTAGCTATGAAAATGGTTTCACTTTGTAAGCCTCTGAGGGTCATGTCAGAAATCAATGGTATGAACTCATGATGTGTTGGCGTTTGTCCCATCACACTAGCAGTAGCTCCTTTTAACACTTTTGATCTGGTAGTTCCATGAAGAATGAGATAAAGGTTACAGTTCCCTAACCTACTCTGTGAGGATGTGGTTTCATTACTCCCCATACATACTTCGATATACTTGTGACCCATTCCTACCACACTGACATAATTAGTGCTAAACACTAGAGAATTTAAAATATTGCACTTTAAAATATGTCATACCGATTTCCTAGAATAATAGATTTTGAAGTTTATTTTAAGCCCCCAAAGACTTGTAGCTCTTTTGGAAGAGGATGCCATGTTCTACAAGGTTTTCTGCAAGTTTGGCCAAGTTCTGCAGAATTCCTAGAGTCTCACAGTACAAACATACAACAGACCCGTGGCACTGTTATATCCTGGTTTGTACCATTTTATTGGGTGATGAAATATTTCCATGTCAGAACAGAATATCCAAATGAATCTTTCATTCAATGTCCAAATGAGTGGGTGTAAACTGAAATAGAGAAACTTCAAAGTAACATAGTTTTAAGGGCAGCCAGCCATTCTTTAGACAAAAATTGAAATAGAAATAATATCTCACCACTAAATTTTCCAGTATTGTAAGTCTTCTCTACATCTAATTTAAATATATATACA